TGACGACAGCACGCGCATCAAGTAGTGCGCATTGTCGCGATAAAGATGTGAGAGACAGTCGGACAAACTAGCGGCCGCCATCAAGCTTGTCAACGACCTGCACCAATGATAACGTGTTCCACGTCCTAGTCCCCCCCCTCCTGCCAGATGCTGTAACTAGAGGGCGAGGGAGGCAGGGAGCGAAGGTGAGGAGGTGAGGAGGGACGAAGGTAGAAGGAAACTGCTCTTCTTGTTGCCAGCGCCCGTGGACCGTCTGGCAGCGTCACGCCCCAGGACCCAGTCAGGACCTGGCGAGCGGGGGCTCGCGAGCGCAGGCCCCTGGCGCGCTCCTCGAGCCGCCCCTGAGTGGCGGCGAACGCCTGCAGCGCCGCCTTCCGCCCGCCGAGAGCGCACTCCGCCTCGAGGAGCACCGCGGCCGCCTCCACGAGCGCCAACCCGTCGCGGGGCTCTCGCAGGAGGCCCACGGCTGCCTCGGGGGCGATCTCGGCGCCTTGCCGCCAACCGCCGCACTCGGGCCCAACGACGCAGCGGGGGGCACGGGTGCACGCCGACCAGGCTGGCGTTGAGACGGGCCTGTCCCTCTGCAGCAGGAAAATGCAACAATAGTGTATAAAGAATAGTCTGGGGACGATTCTCTACTATTTTTGACCATTTGGGAATCTGTTTTGAATGTTTGACGGCCAGGCCCAGCGGGCACAGAGACGGCCTGTCGCCAAGCTCGGCGTCGCAGTTGAGCGGCCCGCCGTGGGCGAGGAGCGCCGCCGTGGCGCGGGGCGCCGACCCGTGGCCGAGAGGGGTCCTTTGGGCGAGCTCGACGCCGACGCAGGCCTGCAGCACGGCCCGCGGCCTGCCCGCGACCAGCCTCTCGGGGGCGACCGAGAGGGGGGCGCCCAAGATGTGGTGCACATCATGGCCCGAGGCATGCGCGCGGCCCCGGGAGGGGGGGGGGCTGGGGACGCCTGCAGCCGCTCGACCGCCTCCGCGCAGCCTGGGCCCAGGCCTCACAACGCCAGGGACGCGCGCGCCAAGGCGGGACACCGCCGCCGCGGCCTCGTGCCAATCGCTCACCTCGCGACTGGCCAGAAGCCCTGCCTGAGGTGGTCGGGCTTCACCCTGCCGCGGCCCGGGATCGCGAGTGTCCCGCCGGACACCGCCAGCGCCACCGCCCGCCCTCGCCTCGAGCCAATCGCGCCACAGGCGCGCCAGCTCGTCGGAGCACTCGCGCGCGGCCAGGACGCCGCCGCCAGCGGCTTCTCGAGGGCGAGGGCGCGGTCGACGCGGCCCTTCCTGACCGCGACGATCCGCTCCGCGGCCGACGATGGCGCGGGGGAGCTGGCCACCGCCTTCCGGACTGCGGCGGCCAGGTCCCCAGCCGCCATGGGCGCGGGCCTCGCGCGCTCGGGACCTGCCACTTTGGGCGAGGGGGGCTCGGCGTGCCTCGAGCCAAAATGGCTACGGAGGTAGAAGGAGACTGCAACCAGCGGGAGCGGGAGGGGGAGGAGGGAGGCAGGCAGGATGTCGGGGGCATGATAGACGAGGAACAAAGCGAAGGAGGGGACGGGATGGGAAAGGAACGGAAGAGGAGGGCGGGGAGAGGATGGGAGAGACTGAAGGGTGGGGATGGCGTAAGGGAACGATTGGGGGGGTGGGGGAGCGAAGAGGGAAATCAGGGAGAAAGAAGGAAAGGGGGGGAGGGAGGGGAGGGGAGGGAGGGAGGAGGCAAGGAAAAATGAGAGAGGGAAAGAGAAGAAACTGGACGAGGGCAGCGAGATGCATGAAGGGGATTGAAGACCATGGCGGGGTGGGGAGGGGAAACATACATTAGGGAAGGAAGCGGGATCGATTAACTAGAGGCCTCCTGGATGGGGTCGGAGTGGATGGGGTCGGGGAATCGCGCCGCACCGCCGATACATCGGCGGTGCATCTGCGATGCATCGTCGACGTGGGCGATGCATCGGCGCCGTCAACATGAAGAAAATCGTGCACCAAATCGAGCCGCATCGGCGACGCATCGCCGATGCGGCGCGATCCTCCGACCCCATCTGCTCCGACCCCATCTGGGAGGCCTAGATGAGCAAATTTGAAGCGGACGCTTGCTCAAGACCAGGCCGCGGGCGCACCGTCACCGCCCTGGCCAGCGCCTCGAGCAGAGGCTGGCCCTGGACGTGTCGGCACCGCCCACAGCAATCACCTTGATCTCCCAACGTGGCGAAATGACCACACCGGCCTGGTTTTCACAACTCTGCGCTTCTGGAGTTCTAAGGTCGGGCATGCCCCCCTACAGGCAGATTTTTGAGGAAAGATGAAACACAGTCAAACATACTCGAACATTATCAAAAGTACTCGACAGATCGTCGCCAGACCATTCTTTTGACTATTTTCGAATACTCCTCCTGTAGAGGGAGGGACAGGCCCGACTTTACATCTGGAGGGCCGCGGCAGGACGCTGAGGCCGTCTATCGGCGGCGAGCGAGGGGGGGAAAGTGAGCAGGAGAAGGCCCTCTTCGAAGGCAGTGGGGCTCCTCAGAAACACTCGCGCTGAAGGTTTCTCCGAAGGGCTCAGGCGACCCGTCCTCCTCCCCCTCCTCCTCCTCCTCCTCCTCCTCCTTCTCAGAAGCACTCGCGCCTTCTGAGATGGTCGTGGTATCTTCGGGGAAGGCTCAAAAACTTCTCAGAAGGCCCGGGGACTTCCGAGCCTTCTCAGAAGGCCCGCCCCTTCTCGCCGGCCCCCCCGGGCTCGCCGCCGAAAACCACACCGGCCCGGATTCCACGTCTCCTGCGCCTCTGGAGGTCCGCAGCAGGCCCCGGAGGCCATCTGAACGACCTCTGGGTCGGGGACTCACTGCCCCGGGTCAATGCAAACCCTGGTCGGTCGGGACTTGCAGGATCCTGCAGGATCATGCACCCAAACCCGGGTCAGTGCGCCCCTGGCCCTGCAGGATCCTGCAACAAGATCCGGCGCTCTGACTGCGCCCCGTTTGCCTTGACTTGGGTCGGGCGTGTCCTCCTACAGGCGGGTTTTCAATCTTTTCCAATGTTATCTTCTGCGTTTTCGTCTCCCCCCCCCCCACACTTCCCCTGTTTTCCTCGATCTTCCCGGGGGGCGCGGGGGCGCGGCCTCCTCCTCCTCCTCCTCCTCCTCCTCCTCCTCCTCCTCCTCCTCCTCCTCGTCCTCCTCCTCCTCGTCCTCCACCTCCTTCCCCCCTCTCACTTCTGGTGGTGGTGGTTCGGGGATGGACAGAACCCCGTTTAGTAAAACGTGGTTTAGTGAAAACGACCAGAGGCCCAAACCTGGCGGGCGCAAGCCTGGAAAATAACGGCCACGGCGCCCTCTCGAGAACCGAAAACGGACAATTCACTAATCGACGTGTCACTGTTGGGGGTTCTGTCCACCCCCGAGTGGTGGAAAACACGCCCACCAAACGAGATCCACGAGAGGCGCGGGGCTGGGGCGCGGCCGCGCGGCCGCCGGCAGGGCCGGGCGGGCGCGGCCGGCCGCCCGAGGACGTCCGGGGGGGCCCTGCGGGTCTGGCGGGCGCACGGGGCGCCGCGGCCGCGCCAGAGCGCCCCCAGGAGATGTTTTTTGTTTTTTTGTTTATATATATATATATATATATATATATATATATATATATATATTATATATATAACACATGTTTTTTCTTATTTTTATTTCGGCGATCACCCGGGTTTATCCGGGGGGGGACCCTGGCCTTCCAGAGTGCTGGTAAATAGCACTCCAGGCCTGCAGATCCATCGACGGGCTGCCTCAATCCTCGACAGGAATTAGACGTCCTGGTGCTATTTTTCAGCCCTCCTGGAAAGTCAGGGGGGGGGGGGAGGGGGCCGGCCGATATCCCAATCTTCGAGCTGTGGGCAGCCCTGCATATGCCGTGCCAGAGCGCCCCAGGAGTGCTCTGTGATGCAGTCGGACCTATAATTAGGTCGGGCGCGTCCCCCTATAAGGCGGTTTTTGGACGAAACGGTAAATTTTGTTTAATATATGTATATATATATATATATATACACAGATTCGAGACTAGCGGGAAATGATCAAATTGCACGATCGTCCACCGACTATTTTTTACCATTATTGCAATTTCCTCCTGTAGAGGGACGTGCCCGACTCAGCTACAGGCCGGAGGAGCAGCCCTCAGGAGCAGGAGGCCCTCCGCCTCCGCCGGCCTGAGCGCACGGAGGAGCCGAGGGCACCCTCCCCAGGATGCACAGGGACATCCGCCAAGCACGAAACGCTCTGGGGCACCCTCCCCGAACCGGCCTCGATCTGATGCCTTGGTCCGACTGTATCGCGTTCGCAGCCTGAGGCTGACTGCACAGTTTCCCCCCGGGGCCGGAGGCGACCCGAGGAGAAGGAGGAGGAGGAGGAGGAGGAGGAGGAGGAGGAGGAGGAGGAGGAGGAGGAGGAGGGGGAGGAGGAGGAGGGAGGAGGAGGAGGAGGAGGAGGAGGAGGAGGAGGAGGAGGAGGAGGGGGAGGAGGAGGAGGAGGGGGAGGAGGAGGAGGGGGAGGGGGAGGAGGAGGAGGACGAGGAGGAGGAGGAGGAGGAGGAAGTGGAGGAGGGGGAGGAGGAGGGGTAGGAGAAGCAGAAGGAGGAGGCGGAGGAGGAGGAGGAGGCGGAGGAGGAAAGGTTGCCTAAGCCCTTCGGAGAAACCCTCCACCGGCCTCGATCTTCTGCCTCGGTCCGACTGTACTGTTTTCGCAGCCTGAGGCTGACTGGTACCGACTTGGCGGCGAGCGTGGGCGGGCTGGTGAGCAGGCGCGGGCCGTCCGAGAAGGCTCGGAGGCCCCCGCGGCCCTCCGAGAGGAGATTCCTGCGCCAGGGAAAACTGCTCCAGGGCGCGAGGGCTTCTGAGAAGCCCCGCCGCCTTCTGAGATGGCCTGCTCCTTCTCACTTCCCCGAACGACCTGCCCGAACCTCTCGCCCTCCGTGCGAGTTCCCGCCCCGGGACCGCCAGGGAGACGGACATGATCGTTGCCGCGCTCAGAGTCGAGCGAACGTATCGCTCCTCGCGAGGATAGGTGCGAGGAGACGCGGGCATGACTGCGAAATCCTCCGTACACTCTGCCTCGCCAACCACGGTCCTCACACACCGTCGCTACGAACAACTGGGCCTTGAGCACGTGGCCGGTTCCGAAAACCCTGAACGTAAAGATGTTGCTATCCATTAGAGGGCGCATTCTTTACTTCTGCCCGCTTCCGCCAGCCCTCCGCCGGCGCGGTCGGCCTCACTTTACTTCCGCGGGCTTCCGCCACATTCCGCCGAGGAAGAGGTGAGCCCTCCTTCGATCCTTGAGAAAATGCGGCCCTCTCTGGAACGCCCTCTCCGGAACGGAAGCAAAAGAATACGTGAGTCCGCATCGCAATTTTTGACAACAAGCATCTCTGTACGTAAATCCGCATTGACAATCAGACTTGTCTTCACCGGCATGTTGCTTGCCGCCTCGCAAGTGCGACTGAATCTGGAGTACGCCGTACCAATCAGAACCTCTAGGATAATCGGGACTCTGATATACGATATCCGCATTTCCAGCCGCAGCACGTTTCTCGTTACAGAGCACTGTTACCCTTCAAAGGTGATGACGATCACCTATTCGTATTCCGTCTTAACTTACACTGATGAGAACCATAAGACCGCCAGTTGAAAATTTGGTTGTTCTATTTTTAGAGGCTTGTGAAGCTCATCCTGTAATTGCCAACGGCATATTCTTGCAAACCGAGATCGACCGTTTGCCTAGAAACGCTTGTGCTAAGCGTAATCCGTGTTCAGTAAACCTAGCCGCTGGCCGCTTTAGGGGCCCACAGCGCCGCGCAGGAGGAGTGTGATTCCTGTCGCTTCCCTGCTGCATCTGCCTCTCTCTCTCTCTGAACCCCTTTCCCGCTTCCGTATTTACCGAAACATGTCAAGGACCTTGGTAATCTGAGCGATCTCTCGCCGCGCGAGATACGGACAAAGCATCATTGTATACAAATCACAAGGCCAAGGCGGATGATGACGACATGACGATGAGTGGCGAGGAGTGAGCGAAACAAGGAGGAGGAGGAGGAGGAGGAGGAATTCGGGTACCCTGAGCAGGAGGGGGGGGAGGAGGAGGAGGTAGCAGGACGTGTGGGGAGGGGATAGGGGTGGGAGGACGACGACGAATGAGGATACGTGGGGAGAATGCTGAGCATGACACGGACGAGGAGTGAAATAATAATAATAATAATAATGATGATGATGATGCTGCTGATGATGACAATAATCACGATGTTGATGATGCTGTTGCTGATAATTATTATGGTGATGACGAGCAATGGAGGGAGGGGGAGGGGAGCAAAGCAGAGGAAGACGCTCAACCCGACATGGACTCGGGCCGAGACCCTGCGCTGCCTGCCCAGCCCAGCTGGGTGCCCTCGACCGTGAAGTTCCTGTCCATGATCGACCCCGCCAGCGTATGGTCTGGGGCCGCCGCCGTCTCAGACTCGCTGCCTGACTTGAGCAAGGAGTCCAGCAGCGCTCGAACGCGATCTCTGGCCGCGCCGTCGGTGAGCGCAGCGTCGGGCGTCACCCCCAGCAGCTGGCCGTGCTGGTCCCGCACGTGCACCACTAGTGATGCAGCGGGCTCCTCAAGGTCCTGGAGTGTCAGTTCGAAGCGCCAGGCGGCGGACGGCATCATCCAATGCCCACACGGCAACGCCTGGCGGCGCCGTTTTGCTCCTGGTCGTGCGCCCGCCCCGTCCACAACGCTGGGATCGTCCCACGGGAACGTCTCGCCGCACACGCATCCAAGCCTGACGAACTCCCGGACATCGGGAACCCTGTCCATGCCGCAGCTGGTGGAGCCAGAGGCGGCGTCGAGGCCTTCCACTGCAACGACGCGGAACCCCCCCAAAAGGAAGCGGCATGCCCTGGCCGTGCCGCCCATGCGGAGGGAACGCTTCACTCCGACGGCGGCCTCGCGAATCCGCACCACTGGCAACTCCGAGACGAGCGCCTCCAGGCGGGCGTAACATGGCCCTTCTGGTACAGCTGCAGGCGGGTCCGTCAAGTCGGCGGCAGCCTGCATGGCAGCCAGCTCGTTGCGCATGCTCTCGGCCGCGGCCTTGGCCCGCTCGACCTCGGCCTTGGCCCGCTCGGCCTCTGCGCTGGCCCTCTCAGCCTCGGCCCTGGCCATCTCGGCCTCGGCCTTGGCCGCCTCGGCCTCGGCCCTGGCCATCTCGACATCCGCCGTCCGGGCAGCCAGGAGCTCCTTGAGCTGGCCCGCCTGGGCCGACAACGAATCCACTGGGTCCACCTCCGTGTCCAGCTCCGTGTCCGTGGCGGCCGGCGTGACCGCCTCCGCGCTCCGCCGCGCGCGGGCTGCGCTGGGGCTGGCGAGCTCGGGGGCCGGCCGCGCGCGGGAGGCCCCTGCCAGGCTCGCGGGCTCGGGGGCCTGCCACGCGGGGGGGGCGTCGGCCTGCACGCCGGGCGGCGCGGCCGGGCCGCCGACAGGCGGCGGCCCCATGCGCTCGCCGTCGGGCCTCTGCGCCCCTGCTCTGCCCGGCGCGGCGTCGGCACGGGCCGCCCCTCCGGCTCTTGGAGCCGCGGGCCCCGCGTGCGCGAGGCTCCCCTGGCCGCCGTCGGCCAGCTCGGCTCCGTGCCGGCCAGCGCCGGGCGTCCACGCAGCGGCCCGCTGGCCGTGGAGGCGCGCCTCGCCTCGGAGGCCCTGCGCCTCGACGGCGCTGCCCACCCCTGGGCTGGCCGCGGGCGCAGGCGGCACCGCGGCGGCGGCGGCCTCCCTGGGCGCCAGCGGCACGGCGCCAGCGGCGGCGGCCCCCTCGGGCACCGGCCCCGAGGCAGCCGCCCGGGCGCCTGGCGGTGGCGGCGCTGCTGCAGAAGCGGCCTCGTCCACGGGCGCATGCGCAACCGCGGCGGCCCCGCCGGGCGGCGGGACCGCGCGGGCAGCCACGGCTTCGGCGGCCGCCCTTCGCTGCTGCACGTCGAAGCACCAGTCTGGCATTCGCGTGACTTGCGCAGGGTGCACGAGGAACTCGCCGCTCTGCGCCGACGCCACGTTGCGGAGCTTCAGCCAGTGCCCAGGCCGCACGTGGTGGAAGAGCCAACGCGCCGCCAGGGGTGGCTCACCCGATATCACACGCACTGGCGACTCGGTGGAGCCATCAGTCACGTCGAGGGCGTACACCGGCACCGCAGTTTCATCCTGCGCGTGGTACGGCATGGGGTTCCCGAAGACAGCCACCACCAACACCACGAAATCCCTGTACTGATGTTCCAGGTTTGCCGGGTTGGCGCCGTCAGAGACATACGATATGTACGTACTGACCGACTCCCTAGTGAGGCGCTCCCGCGCCCAACGCAACAACTCTTGGGCCCTGTCCTTATCCGCTTGCGTGACCGTGTGCTCCCCGCTGCAGTGGGAGAGTGGCGAGCTGCAGACCTCTCCGAAGCGGTCGATGTCGAAGCGCACGGCAGCCGAGTAGTCCTGCATCTGAAGGTTCATGAAGCAAGGCAGCTTCGTGAAGACGCGCAAACGGTGAACACGGACGACGTCGCCCACGCACAGGTATGGCAAACTCTCGGTCATACTGAAGTCACTCTTCACACGATACCGCAGAGAGAACTGGAGGATCTCCTTGCTGGCCGTCCAATCCGAACAAGAGAAGTCCTGGTACGACTGGTCCACGATCCGGATGTTCATCGTCACGCGCGAATCCCATCAGCCCTCTGGGCGTGAGTGGTCTAAGAAGGTCGCTATGCTAACCCCCTTCCTCTCCCCCGTCCCCCCCTGGGTCTGGACCCCCTCCTGCGAGGTGTCAGAGGGTCCGTTTTGCCCCCGCGGTGGCTCTAAGAGAGCTCCAGAGAGCCCAAGGTGGCCTCCATGATCGCTCAAAATATCCCAAGATGCTTCAAGATAGTCGTCAAGAGGCCCAAATCCTTCCAACCACTGTGTTGTACAATGTGTGTTTTGCCTTCTCGCCTTTTTTCTTTCGATGTGCTCCCGAGGCCTCAATCTGGCCCCACGAGGGCCCAAAGACGGCCTCAAGAGCGCACAAGACCGCACCAAGAGCGGCCCAAGAGGCCCCCCCCCCCCCCCCCAGAAGCGATTTGTCGGGCCCCGACGGTGGAGCCGAAATCGCCGAGCCCTCCTCTCATTGGATCGATGGCCTCCGAGATGACACCAAGACCCCCCCGAGGCCTCCAGGAAGGCCCAAAGAGAGCTTTCACAACGTCCCCAGAGGGCCCGACGAGCTTACAAGATGGCCCCAGGAGGGCCCCACGATGGCCCCAAGATGCCTCCAAGACGCTCCCAAAACGGAAGATCCCAAAGATCTTCTTCATATTGACCCCTATCGTCGTCATCGTCGTCGTCGTCGACCCCCGTCTATTTTGCGCTGTATGCTGCTGCACTTCCCTGATTCAGGTATCGTCACTGCCGGTGCGTTTACCTTGTAGGCGGTGGTTTGGGGGCAATCGCTTCGCGGCTACCTAGGTTGAGTGGTTGCTTGTCGTCGCTGCATGCTTGCTAGATGACTGGCACGCGCGTCGTAGGTGCTCGCGCGTCCAAAAAACCGCGCGCACGGCGAGCGACGGCAAACCCTCTACCAAGTCTTGCACGTGCACGCCCGACGTACTACAGGCACCGCAGGGAACAACAGAGAACTGATCAACCAGGACGCTACTCATCCCTGATCAGGGCAACTCGCCTGGTGTCTGTTTTTAGATGGGCTGATGGGCAAGCGCAAGCGCACCGGGAGACGCCGGACGCCGTCCAATCTGGTGGGGACACTTTTTTGTCGCAACCGCAGACGAAGGCGCCAGCGGCGTCACAGGTCGGCTCGGGCTACGAGCGGAACTAATTGCCTAGCGCGCGAGCGCAGGCAACTGCTAAACCTACCGCCGGGGGAAGCTGGGCTGCGCCGAGGGTAGAGGCTGCAACCTGGTGGGGATACTTTTTTTTGGTTGGCGGCTCCGAGGCGGCGGACAGGGAGCGGTCAAGGAAGATACCTGGTGGGGGTACTTTTTGTTCGGCGGCTCCAAGGAAAAGCCCAAGGAGCGGGCACAACGTCCAGGGCGCGGTACATTGTAAATTTGCGAAACCAGCCGTCACCTGGTGGGGGTACGCGAAGCGTCAAGAATTAGACCACATGTCTGGCCCAGGCTTTGCGTTCTCCCACACGACTCCGTATGCATTGACGTCTAGGCCGTCGCGGAGGGTGCACAGGCACCGCGGGTAGAGATACTCGCCAGTGGGCTGCTTCTTCGCGGAAGGCCACAGAAACCATTCAGGCACATCGTCCGTCAGCTGATGGCAGTGCTCGTACCTGAGCCTCTTGTACCGATTCCCACGCCAAACGGTGATCAAAGCTCCCTCGCAATTGGACCGCGCCACGCTCAAGGTGACAGAGCCCACATCCCTCTCCAACTCGCTCGCCCGCCGGGTGCCCTGCATGCCAAGATTGTCGCCTGGCTCCAGCGTCACCAGCCGGCAGGCCCAGCGCCCACGGAACTGTACCTCACGAGTTGTATTACCATCGCCTTCGCGCTTGAGCCTCACGCGCAGAAGGTGCCGGTCCCACAACCACTCTTCGGAGCCCTGTGGCGGATCGGGCACGTCGCCCTTCTCCTCTGGCGTCAGCTCAGGGCCCTGCTCGATGCCGCTGTGCCACGCCACGACTCCGCGAACGGTCGTACGGCCATCGGCTGGCTGGGACCTCTGCTCTTCGACTCGCGGCATCTGTCCGCCGCACCGAAAGCCGTTGGCTTGAGCCGAAAGAGCTCAGGATCTCCTTCGCAGCGTTGCTCGAGAGTCTCGACAACACACACACACATAAGCACGAAAGGGCAATGCCCACGTGGGCGCGGGGCCGGACACGCGTGCATGACAGCCAGAACCTTCAGATCCCGCCCAGGACTCCAGCGTGCACGACAGTCAGAACCTCCAGATCCCGCCCAGGATTCCGAGGAACCAGGGCTGGGGTCGCGCGCAGATCCAAGAAGTCCGCGCGGACCGTCGAACATGTATGTCTATGCCGTTCTCTGTGTTTCAAATGCTGTGCCCAATCTCCCCTCAGACGCGACGTGGCCACTGCACAATCGGCGGCGAGCCCGGGGGGAAGTGAGGAGGGGCAGGCCTTCTGAGAAGGCTCGGTTGTCTCCAAGCCTTCTGAGAAGTTTCATATGAGCCTTTCCTGAAGACACAGAACATTTCTCAGAAATCGCGAGGGCTTCTGAGAAGTCCCGCCGCCTTCTGAGAAAGCTTTCTCCTTCTGACTTCCCACCCTCGCTCGCCGTCGAGTGACGTCGCGCGTGAGCGCCCTCCTCCCTCCGCGGTATGCCACCCTGGCGGCCCGCGTACGCCGCGGCGCGAGGTCGCGACGCCATCTTGCGGAAGCCGTTTCTAGAGGCCTCGTGGGTGGGGTCGGAGAAGATGGGGTCCGAAGATCGCGCCCCATCGGCGAATCATCGGCGATGCATCGGCAATGCACCAGAAATGTATTGGCGACAACGGCGATGTATCTGTGACGTCCGCATGAAGATCGGGATCCGCATCGAGCCGCATCGCAAATGCATCGGTGATGCGGCGCGATCCTCCGACCCATCTACTCCGACCCCACCTGAGAGGCCCCGCTGGACTGCACGCATCTGGGTCAACAGGACGAGGCGGCGCACCATTTACGTCAATACCGTATTCCATGGCTGCTGGTACCGCCTGCTTAGCCAACCTGGATACCAATGGACCTGCTTTCAGAATGGCTCCAAACCGAGGAAGCCTTTTGGCAAAGCCTTTTAACTTGATGGCTCTCCCCGAACCCACTTCAATGCCCAGGACCTCCAGAGCGCCGGCACAAGTGCGTCCGAAAGGTCCCGAGATTCCCCAGAGGTAGAGGATCGCCGCTTGTGACTTCCACGTTGCGCCTAGCAGGTGGGGGGCCAAAGGGCTTCGAGCACGTGATCAAGCAGCCTGAGAATCTTGGTGGCCCAGGAACCCACAGAAGACAATAACCCACATATGTAGATATCCATATATGAGAGAACGCGTTTCACGGGAGGTGTCGATCAAAACCAGGGGACGACCTTCCCCCCCAAAACCCCCCCTCCCGAACCCCCACGTCCGAAAGGGGTTGGGGGTGGTTTCAAAACACCCCCCACCGTCGGCGCCGGCGCTGGCGGCCGCCAGCAGCGCCCACGGCGGGAACGCAGCGACGAAGGGGGGGGGATGGTTTCAAACCCCTCCCCCCGCTTTGTCGCCATGGGGCGGGGGGTTGAAGCCCCCCACCCTCGCGCCGGCGCCGGCGCTGGCGGCGGCTACCAGCGTCGGCGCTGACGCCGGCGACGGCGGGGACGCAGCGACGATTACCATCACTACCACCACCACCACCACAACTACCACCACCAACACCGCCTCAACCCACCACCACCACCACAACCACC